GACTTTTTAACTAGCCATTTTTTTATCATTCGAAAAGTATTGTTGTCTTGAGCTTAAATTTGAAAAGATATTTCACCTGTGATCATTTTTTGTAAAGTTATGGGGGTTTAAAGATTGCCATTTTGGCCACTTTGGGACAATTAACGCGCGATATAACGGCCAATTTGGGACAATTAACGCGCAATTAACGCGCTGAGATTTAATTCGTCTTAGAACTCGTTCCAAATCAATTGCAAGAAGCTTATTTGCTATAATTGATTTGTTACAAGGAGCGAAATCTATCCTTTTATACCTTATATGGCATGTGGGGGGATGATTTCATTTAAAAATTTCAAATTTTAGAAAAAAAATTTTTTGTTCTACTTTTATTACATTTAATTTTTTTCATGTTATTACTGCTCCATAAAGCTTAAAAGGCAGTCGGAATATTCAGGGTTTCGCCTTGATACGAGCAGTCTTGTTCTATTTGAATTGGAAAGTTAAAGTTCGAATACTATTTCTGTACTTTTGTCACCTTTTGCTGAAAGTGACAGAAATTTGGGACCATCTGAAGTGTTGTTCCTCAAAGGCTGTCAAAGATTTTTTTTTTCAAAATGAATTTGGCCTCGATTCTAACTTTTCAAACCATTTTGACAGCTTTTTTCAACCACCGCTGTCGAAACTGTCCTTTGCATACTGCAGGCTGTTTGTTGTTTTTTATTTCAGATGCAGTTTTTGATACATTTTTGAAACTTTTTCATATTGACTATTTCGCACTTCAGAGCATCTTAATTGGAACTTATTGCCTATACTTTAAGTAGGCACACTTGACATTTCAAGAAGATATTTTAAGAATTTAATAATTGTTTCTGCTTTTTTTTTGCTTTTATCTATCCGCCGACGTAATTGCAACATGGCGCGTGTAGTTGAGCAGACCTTGATGTTGGTTGGTGTATTAATGCAATGGTGTTGATGAAATAAGCGGTTATTTTGGTTGCGGATTGCGTCGTTAAACATTCAGTCTTGTGACACTTTCTGATGTTTATTGCACAATGAC